AAAGAAATAATAACAGTAAAATATTAACTGTATTGTGGAAAGAAAAATAATTTTTATCTGAGACAGATTAGTTTCCTTTTATGGGTATCAGCCTGCCTCTTTCTGCCCAGACTGTTTGCATAAAAAAGTTAATCAAGAAACTGAAAGCAAAATATTATTGAAGAAAAATTTTAGTTGCTTAACATTTTAAATTTATTTTCTATAGGTGATGAAGAGTCACCTATGGACCCAGAGATAGAAAAATTGCTATAGCAACTAAAGATACCAGAATACCAAGAAATTATTATCGCACGTTCTCCTGCTGGATTTGCAACACGAAATGTCTCGTAATAGATTTATCACAAAAATGCAAATCAAAAAACTGAAAGCAAAATATTATTGAAGAAAAATTTTAGTTACTTAACATTTTAAATTTATTTTCTATAGGTGATGAAGAGCCACCTATGGACCCAGTGATAGAAAAATTGCTAAAGCAACTAAAGATACCAGAATACCAAGAAGTTATTACCGCACGTTCTCCTGCTGGATTTGCAAAACGAATTGTCTCGTAATAGATTTATCATAATAAAGTAAATCAAGAAACTGAAAGCAAAATATTATTGAAGAAAAATTTTAGTTACTTAACATTTTTAATTTATTTTCTATAGGTGATGAAGAGCCACCTATGGACCCAGAGATAGAAAAATTGCTAAAGCAACTAAAGATACCAGAATACCAAGAAATTATTACCGCACGTTCTCCTGCTGAATTTGCGGGCTGTGCTCTGTCCATCCTAGGATTTTCCAACCTGAAGGTGGGGTAGAGGGTCATAACAATAGATATGATCCATCAATGTGTCAAAGGGGAAAATGTATTGTTATGAATAGATCTTTGAAGTGGGGACTCTTGAATTTTAACAAATGTCCATCGCCAAGCATTTGGCGAATGAAACATCTCTTTAGCAACCCCTAAAGATTATACCACCACGTGTTGTCAATATAGTATTTTTAGCAATCAAGATGGAAATATTTTTTCATAATTCAAAATTTGGAGAATAAAAATCCTGAAGCATGAAAAGTACCTCCATTATTTTCATGGGGAATTGACAGCTTGGTTTTGTATCAGAAAAGAAAACGGGTGTAGAGCATAAAACAGCAATTTTTTGTTAATTACTTGATGGTTCATTACACTATCACTTCGTTTAACAAGTCCTATACATCTATCTGAATCATTTTAGTTTTGTTTCTTCCTAAAAATCNATGATTGATAACACAAAAGATTCAAATAGATTATTGGTATTGCATTTTTTTTTTCTATTGAGTCTTACAATATGTAAATTCATAACAATATTAAACTTTAACTTAAATATATTTTAGGTTTTCTGCACAGAAGAGAGTTTAGGATATATGAGTCAAAGTCCAAGATTATTCATGGATGGGACCTTCAAAACTGTACCGAAACTGTTTGCACAGCTCTACACAATTCATGGATGTATCATGGGGAGATACTATCCATTTGCCTACTGCCTCCTCATCAACAAGGAGAAAACTACGTATGTCCGCCTTTTCGACTTGCTGAAAGGGAAAGCCTTGGCTCTAGGCATCAGTTTGAATCCAAATTCAGTGCTGATAGACTTTGAGAGAAGTTGCATATCAGCTTTGAAAGATACATTTCCTTATGCTGCAGTAAAGGGATGTTTCTTCCATTATGGACAGTGTATTTGGAGAAAGGTAAAGTATGAATTTATCATTTAAGGGTCACAAGATTAAGAGAAGAAATTTTTCTATTTTAATTGTCCCCATTGAAAAAGTTTAAAAATATATATATAACAGTTAGGAAAAAGAAATATAGTTAGGTGAAAAGATCATTTTGTTTAATGATGTTTTGTTATATGATCATTTTGTTTAATTTTTTGTAAACATGCTATACTATTAGTGCTGTAAATCCTATGACTAGAATTCTACCATCTAAATTTTTTTCTAACGAAATAGAATTCTATCGACAAAGACAGAACTCTAGTTTAGTAAATACTATTTAAATTTATATTAATTACTATGATCTTTTCTGAAACCCAAAACATAGAGTACATTAATCTATAAAAAAGTGTGGTGGTTGGACTGTCAAAAAATATTTATTCCAGTTATTTATGGTGTTTTGCAGTTAATACTTTCTCTATTACTGCAATAGTAAGTCTTTTGAATATTCTTTTTTAGAAAATTAAATTTACACAAGTCTAAAATGTAGAGTGAAGAATGTCCTTCCAAAAGTAGAAACTAACAAACATCTCATAAAAATTATTTTTAATTCATCTAACCCGCAAATATGCATTTTATTAAAAAACAACACTAAATAATTTTTATTTACATTGAATTATAAAATTTGTCAGAAATATTGTTTTTTTAAAATTTTTAATTAGTAAAAAAATTGTATATTAATTAGGTGCAAGAGCTAGGGTTATCCTCTGCATACAGAAATGATGATGAAGTGAGGCAGTGGGTACAGAGAATAGGAGCTTTGCCACTTGTGCCACCTGAATCAATGGGTGATGCCATAATTTACATCGAAAATACTGCTCCGGACTGTACAGAGGCAATGGATTTATTCAGTTATGTTGCTGATACATGGGTTGATGAATGTGATTCAATGTTTTTAATGTGAGTATAAAATTTTTGATGTTTCCAAACAAATTTTAAAAATCTATGTAGTGCATATTTTTTTAATATAAACTATCAAGTTATAAATTCTCTAATCATAATTAGCACAGGATTAAAATGTCATGGTTTTAGAAAGATATAATTATTTAGTTATGAACCTTATTAATCTCTTACAAATTATAGGACAGATAATTGTAATTATTGGTAATAAAAATATTACTTATTTTTCATAGGTCAGCGGAGGCCGATTATTCAGACTAAACTCAATCAGGATGATGAATCCAGATAATAGGCAACTTTGAAATACGGCTATGAGAATATTTTTAAGTAACTTCCCTTCACACTTTTTCCAAGCTTAGAAATTAGCAATTGTAGTAGTACCTATAAGAGCATATTACAAATAGCATATTTAAGAGTGCTAATATTTTTAAATTTTATTAAGAGCCTGTAATTCTATTAGAAACTACTGGCCACCTATTTTGACACTGGGCAAAACGAACGTGAGGTTCTTTTCAAGATAATCAAGGCACAAAAGAAGCCATTTTCAACCCCTCTCAAATATTTTAATAAATGAAAATATTTTGGCAATAATTTGGCAATTCGGCACTCTACTGTAAACCAATCCAACCAAACAGAAAAATGTACAAGTTGTTGTTACAAAAATTATTAAATTTGGGTTGAAAGTACATGCAATTACATACTAAAAAAAAAATAGTTTTAAAATATCGTTAACGAAAAACACAAATTTAGACTGCAATTTTTGCTCATAGCATGCCTCAATCTTTTAACTTTTATAAGCAAAGATAGATAATTTATTTAATATGAATATACAAATAATATTTACTTTTTTTTATTTCAAGGGATATCTGGAATCATTATGATAATCCTGGAGATAGAACAAATAATATAGTGGAGTCTTGGCACAGCAAGTTCAATCGACGTGCGCAAAAAAGTCATCTCAACTTATTTGCCTTCATAGAGCTTTTGCAACAAGAGGAGGCAGAGAATCATGCTGAAATCCAAATGCTTTTGCAAGGTAATCTTCGGCCAACTTAATCCAGAAGGTTATATGTGGAGATTGATAGGCGCATTCAGGAATTAAAAAGTCGACTGGAAGCGGGCGCTATTACCTTGACACATTATATTAATTCTATTTCCCATTGCATACACAATAATTAATTTTTTTTTATCACTAAAGTTTACTAAAGTAAAGTCCATTTACAACAAATACAAATATTTTGTAATAAAAAATTGCTTATAAAATGGTAAAAAAAATTACTTATAACAATAATTATTTAATATTTAAAAAATTACTAATTTATTGCCTATATAATAATTACTAATACTAACTAATAAATACTTTAATTGTTTCTTTCATTTTTAGTATAAAAATATAATGAATTCCCGTGTTAGTGTAGGGTATATCTATCACACATTCAGACATCATCACTTGGATAATTGTTTATTGAAAAATGAACAAAATGTATCACTGAACAATAAAATTTTATTTAATTTATTTCCTGATAATTTAATTAACAAGCTTTAACTTGAGCGAATAGATCTTGAGAAGCAAAGTAAATTATTTATTCCATTTCCATTGAAATTCTATTTGAAAATCATATAATTCAGATTTTTTCTAAAGCGAATATTGTTTTTTTGCTAATTTAGTACATTAATCAAAGCCCATTGCTAGAAATTTCTGCATAACTATTTAGAAAAAGAAATATTTAAAAATAATTCTAATAACTAATTTTATAAAAAGTATAAGGTAAAATTTTTTGTATAATTTTGTAAGTTCTAAACAAGATTAAAATGTGATTAATTTATTCAAGTTTAAAAAAAACCTACATAAAAATGTAATCATGTTGATTATCTGCACTAAATCAAATCATGTATATATTTGGATCAAATATATACTAGAAGTTCCACACTGTAAGGTCGTCGATAGCTTGGACTGTATGAAGAGGTTATAAGTAATTCTAGGCGACTGGTTACAAACAAAACAATTTTATTGAGAGATGTGGCGATGGTTCATCGCTGCAGTTACATGCATCTACTACTACAATTTTCTCCCTGGCACATACGCCCTCTGGCGTCACTTAACATTCCCCCCCGATTGAAATTCAATTACATAATTTCAATAAACAATATAACTAACAAACAGAATACATAGAACATATGAATACTATTAGAATCATAAAAAATAATGAAAAACTAATTTTGCTATGATTACACAAAATTTGAGAACAAATACAGTAGGATAACATGTGCTGATTAATATACATATATAATTATAAACAAAATTAATTTACTCAAATATTTTCTTTTGAAAAACATATGCATAAGAAAAACAAATATATTTTTTTTTCATTCAAGCGGTAATATACAAATGTCTCTGACATTTCTCTTGAAAATTTTACCATTAGGCATACGTACATTTACAATTCTTATTTTTCCATCCCTACTTTGAAATATTTCCACTATTCTTCCAACTAACCACTGTGTGGCAGGAAGTTGCTCATTTTTCATTAAAACAAGAGTACCCTGTTTTACATCGTCCTTACTAAATTTCCATTTGGTTCGACCCTGCAAATTATTTAAGTAATCTTTCTTCCACAATTGCCAAATTTGTTGACTAAATTTAGTTACCCTTTGCCATTTAGACAAATGAGTTTCCTTGATATCATTAAGTAGAGGTTTTTGAAGACCATTTATTGGTCTCCCAATTATGAAGTGACCTGGACTTAATGTCCGAAAATCATCAAAGTTTGCCGACAATGGAATGAGGAGCCGGGAGATGAATACTCCTTCTATTTCAGCTAAAATAGTTACAAATTCTTCAAGCGTCAATTTTTGGCTACCTATTACTCGTTTGAAATGAAATTTGAAAGCCTTCACCCCAGCTTCCCAAAGGCTCCCAAAATTAGGTGATTTTGGGGGTATAAATTCCCATACAATATTCTCGTTTGAGAGAAAGTTAGACAAGTTTTCATCGCGGGAAGTGACAAGCTTCAAAAGTTTTTTAATCTCAACATTTGCTCCAACAAATGTCTTTCCATTGTCAGACATGATTTTCGAACATTTGCCTCGTCTACCAAAGAAACGTTTCAAACAAGCTATAAATCCTTGAGTGGTTAAGTCTGAAACAAAATCAAGATGTATAGCCTTTGAGCATAAGCAAATAAAAACAGCTACGTAAATCTTATTTAACACTCCTTTACGCTGATTTTTAAATTTTACTAGAAAAGGGCCACAAAAGTCAACCCCTGTCACATTAAAGACAAAATTAGGAGTGACACGTTCCCTTGGTAGATCGGCCATTATTTGTTGAACACTTACAGGCTTATTTNTTTTCAACCCCTCTCAAATATTTTAATAAATGAAAATATTTTCGCAATAATTTGGCAATTCGGCACTCTACTGTAAACCAATCCAACCAAACAGAAAAATGTACAAGTTGTTGTTACAAAAATTATTAAATTTGGGTTGAAAGTACATGCAATTACATACTAAAAAAAAAAAAAAATTAGTTTTAAAATATCGTTAACGAAAAACACAAATTTAGACTGCAATTTTTGCTCATAGCATGCCTCAATCTTTTAACTGTTATAAGCAAAGATAGATAATTTATTTAATATGAATATACAAATAATATGTACTTTTTTTTATTTCAAGGGATATCTGGAATCATTATGATAATCTTGGAGATAGAACAAATAATATAGTGGAGTCATGGCACAGCAAGTTCAATCGACGTGCGCAAAAAAGTCATCTCAACTTATTTGCCTTCATAGAGCTTTTGCAACAAGAGGAGGCAGAGAATCATGCTGAAATCCAAATGCTTTTGCAAGCTAATCTTCGGCCAACTCAATCCAGAAGATTATATGTGTATTAACATTTAACAAAGATCTTAACTGGAAAGATCATATCAAAACTGTTCTAGCCAAAGCTTCAAATATATACAATAAACTAAAATGTCTTATGGGGCCCCACTCCAAATTGTCACTAAGAAACAGAAGATACATTTATTTAACTTATATACGCCCGATTATCACCTACTCATCCCCAGTTTGGTGCAATATCAATAAATCCCAATCGAAAAAACTGACTGTTTTTCAAAATAAACTACTCCGAAAACTCAGTGGAGTTCCCTACTTCATACATAACAAAGCAATTCACAAAGATTTTAAACTCAATACCCTCACTGAAACCCTAACACTCTTAAACATTAAATTCTTTAAAAAAGCAATTAACTGTGATGCTGCGAAATATAATTCTATTTTTAATTCAGAAATGCTATTAGAAGATGCAAAAATCAGACCCATAGCACACTTTTTCACAAGTGATGCTATTTTATCAAGCAAATTCCAATAAGCATTACAATATATCTATAGCCTTAAATAAAAAGGCCTTTCTAAGGGCCTAAAATATCTTTTTATATTTATTACACAAGGCCTTTTTAAGGGCCTGAGTAATTTATATTTCTATATTTTATAGTTCAACAATTCCTCACTATCAGCGATTGGCGCTGAAAGCGCTATTATTGTCTTGCACCTTCTGGTGCTCTAACCCCGCCCACAATGATCAAGTCTCATCCAATCAGATAACAGTATTTTCTCATATAACATGATCATAAAAGTTTATATATTTTTCTCTCTTCTTTTTTTTTATATATATACCCATCTCATGATGTTTAAGCTCACGATTATCAAATCATATGGAAAGGTAAAAGGCCCCTTCGGGGCCTAAACGCTTTGTCAAAACAGCGTCGACGACTTCAGGAGTAAATAAGCAACGCGGTTATCACGTGTTTCTTCTTATCCAATAGGAAAATGCTTGTAACTGTCGGTCAAGTAACGCACAGTTAAGAAACCGACGGTCAAAAAATAACGGTGGAATCGCTTTTGAACTCTCGGTCAAAGTTTCCAAACCATTGATGGAGAGATTTTTTATTATTTGTCTGTTTTTCTATTTAAAATAGTTGTATTTACGAATTATGCATTCTATTGTTTAAATGCATATTCATAAACTGTCTAAGTGGTCAAGTCAAAAAAAAAAAAATCTATGTAACATTCCATAAATAAAAGCTTTAACTGTAAAAAACTTTGACTCTAAGCTTTTTTAAGAATATATATAGAATATATTTTAATTATATGCCAGATTTTTTCCGTGACATTACATATTATGTAAACAGATATTGTTAAGCAATTTAATCTTGGCAAACAAAAAAAATACTTTTAAAATTCATGTTTGTAAGCTCAGTTCAAGAATACAGTTTTCAAGTATATATTGATTTGTTTCTTAAAGTTACTATTAGCTTTGTTTTTTTAAATATATTTTATTACAAGTAAAGGAGATAAAAGTAGGTTCATAAGACAAAGTGAAAATATAGTAAGAGAAAAGCATATTTTCTCTTTTAATTAATGTTCAGAAATATTTTGAGGTTACTGCAATTATTGATTCTTTAGAAACTGGCTGCAAATTCGACTCTTACAAACTATTGTTTTTGTTTATAGCAGATAGAATGTTAAAGCTATTGCTTAAATTATTATGAATTGTCAAAAACTTTATTTTAGTTCAGACTTGTTGACAGTGGTGTGATATATGTATACTTGTGTATAATACATACATGCTGTGTGCATTCAAGTATCCATGCACACACACACACACACACACACACACNAGCTATTGCTTAAATTATTATGAATTGTCAAAAACTTTATTTTAGTTCAGACTTGTTGACAGTGGTGTGATATATATATACTTGTGTATAATACATGCTGTGTGCATTCATGTATCCATGCACACACACATATATATATATATAGCTTTGTACTATTTAATATATTTACCAATGTGAAATGTTAAAGAAAAATAATAATGATTTGTCGACATAAAAATCAATTTTAAATACTAATTTTGTTCTATTTTTCTTACAGCTCAAATGAGACTATACATGGAATTAAAATCCATGAGCCTTATTGAAATTTAGGCGAATCTGAAGAAAAGAAACAGATTCCTATCAGAAAAGATATGCGATTTAACGCTAGAACGCCACCGGACGGTGTCATTTCGACACCTGACGATTTAAATTTAACCGTAGAATTCGGATTTTTTTCTTGGGTTTCTTTGTGACTTTTATTGATTCTTTATTTAGATTTTGCATGCCTAATTAAAAGTCATTTATTTTATCGATGATTTTACCTAGAACGTCGGTTTGGTGTCAATATGACACGTCAACAGTTTCGTTTCGTCTATTGAAAAAGTTTGTTCGTTTTTACTTTTGTTAGTCAACAAATTCAGTGTAACATTTTTTGGAACGCTGCCAAATCAATTTTGACCTCGATCGCGCAGATATACTTCGGATTTTGTTCGCGAAAGTAATGTGTCTTGTCGTTTCTTGTCCAGAAATTCTGATTCCGTTTTTCATCATCTCTTTTGTTTTTTTATCAAATACATTTTATAATGTCTCGCAAACGGGGACTGACTCACAACGAAATAACAGCGCTTCTCAGAGAATTATATGTGAATCTCAGAGAATTATCTATGAAAATTATAATTCTCAAATTAATGACATATTTATTTCCCGCGATGGCTCGCAGTGGAAACAATGCATTCCTGTAAATACAGTAGGCAGATTCTCCTGCCAAAATATTTTGAAGAAGACTAGCGGAGCAACAAGCTATGCAAAGAGAAACATTAACAGCGAGAGTGTTTTGAGTGCTAGGCTGCTTTTAGTTGACAAAACAATTTTGAATCATATCACGGAATTTACAGAAACAGAAGCTCGTAGAGTGCTTGAAAGTGATGATTGGTCTCTCTCAAGAGAAGAACTTATAGCATACATTTCCATTTTGTATGCTCGAGGAATCTCAGCAGTTAGAAATCTAGAACTACACTCATTATGGTCCTCCTCATGGGGCTTGAATTTTTGCAAAGAAACGATGCCTAGAGACAGATTTTGTGAAATTTCAAGATATCTACGATTTGATTTGAAATTGACACGCCGTGATAGATTGAAACAAGATAAATTTGCCATGATATCGGAAGTTTGGAATCGTTTTATCGAAAACTGTGTTACGTGCTACAAACCAGGTCAGAATATAACGATAGATGAACAATTGTTTCCTAGTAAAACTCGATGCCCTTTTACTCAATTTATAACATTAAAACCTGACAAATATGGGCAAAAATTCTGGCTTGCTGCTGACGTGGAAACTAAATATGTTCTAAATGCATTTCCTTACTTGGGAAAGAATGAAGAACGAGATAAAAATCAGAGACTATCTGAATATGTAGTTTTGAAACTTATTGAATCCTTCCAAAATGTGGGACGAAATGTGACTGTTGACAACTTTTTTACGTCTCTGGAATTAGCCAAGAAGCTAAAGGAAAAACGAACTAGTTTAGTTGGTACGATGAATTAAGCCAGACGCAAGATTCCAGATTGTATAAAAACTGGAAGAGAAGAGTTATATTCAACAAAAATATTAAAAAATGAAGAATCTGGAACAACACTTACTGCTTATCAGTGTAAGAAGAAAAAAAATGTGATTGCACTGAGTTCCATGCATGCCAGCATTGATATTGCAAATAATTCAAAGAAAACTCCAGAAACCATAAAATTTTATAACGAAACAAAATTTGGCGTAGATATAGTAGATCAGATGTGCAGGCAATATTCAGTCACAGCGGGGTCAAGGAGATGGCCTGTCCATACTTTTTATCGGGACTTCGCGGCAATAAATGCCTGGATTATTTTCAAATGTGTAACAGGGAAGAAATTATCGAGACGCAGTTTTATTCAAAGTTTAGCTGAAGAATTAAGAGTACATTGCAATAAAAAGCCCATTAAAGAAAGCGAAATATTGAAAAAGAATGCGAAGGTGTAATTCCTCCCAAGCGTAAAAAGTGTGAAATAAAAAAAATTCAATGGTAATGTTACGAACAAAATATGTTCCTCTTGTTATAGGATGGTATTTGTAATTTATTTATACCCCCCCCTTCCATAATCGGGTATACGGGGAAATCGAGAGCTTGTCGTCGCGACGAATCCCCCCCCCAGCGAGGGAAACTCAGACAAGCCCTGTTGAGGTTTGAGTTCGAGATTAGTTAGATAGTTTGAGTTTCCTGTGCTGGCAACATCTTATTGTTTTTATATTCCTTTTATGTAAATAAAAGTTAAGTTTTCAGTTTGTTCTACGTGACTTTCAGTCTGATTTGCTCTCAACAAAATCCAACATTTGGTGCCGAAATAACTCGGTAAGTCATACTGAACCTTTTATAATTACTTTCGTCAAAAATCTGAATTGGAATGGCTA